AAATTCCGTTTGATGAAGTAGATGTACATGTATTAAACGAAACCAATGCCAAATTTTAAGTGTTAAATAACTGGAATGTGTGTGTGTGTGTGTGTGTACGGGGGGGGGGGGGAAAGTAGGGCTGCTGCTTTGAAAGAATAGACTTTTCTAAAATCCACGTTAAGGTTATATTTCACTGGAGCAATATTCAGATATCTTCTATTGTATATTGTTCGATATGTAGTTTTTAATTTTATTATATATGATATTCACTTGTAAAAGGAAAAATCATACCGTTATCACGTCCCGTGCCTTTGAAATTTTCGCAGAGTAAATATCGACGTGGGAGAACCCATCTTATCTGAGTATACCGTCCTTTACCACAATCACGCCCACCACGTGTCTGTCAAGTGATTCTTTTGTTGAAAACCTTGAGAATTAAAACACCTGTGACATGTGTCACTTTGACACAAAGCCCCTCCCACAAAAAAAGATGAGCAAAGGTGGTGAGAGGGAGGGCCCATATAATATGCACAGAACCTTCCATGATTTTCAATTTCAAGATGCAACCTTATTCCCTTTCTCTCTACTCTGGCCTGCAAGCGATAAAGTATTACAAGTCAAAATCATATCATCTTGTCATTCTAGCATCTTTAATATTAAGGTAAATAAAATACTCCTCATAAATTCCTCCTCTACACTTGCTACACTCATCAAAGTGGGGACGATTTCAAGAGAGGGTAACCGTTTCACTCTAGTTCCCTGTTGGTCTAGAAGTTTGTTTTGTGAAGGCGTTCTACGCAAAGACAGAAAGCGGGACAAGATAACGGCGGGTTGACACCAGACGTCTTTCCCTGAAGTTACGGTGTTTGATAAAACCAAGTGAACGCGGCTCAAACGCTGCAGTAGGTTTGTAACTTGTATGTTTTAAATACATTTCCGTTTTTCAGATGACTTTAAAAAAGATGAAAATGACAACTCATTTTTTAAATATACAGATTGTATACTATCAGTTGACATATTTTGGACTTCGCATATTTCCTTAATGTCTTAGGTGATGAATAAACGTGAAGAATGTTCCAATATACCTCGCTAGACTAGTGCGACCCAAAAATAATAAAAACAACAAACAACAAAAAACTGATTTACAGATCGTAACTTTGTCGACGATATTGAATAAGATTTATGTGCAGTCTTCTGATGACACAAGCAAAAATGATGGATTTTCAAGGAAAATAAATTCTTTTCTGTTTTAAGGCCTAACACCCATTGTGTGAATTTTAATGATTCAACTTCCTTTCTGGTCAACTGCCGAACGAATTATGTGAATATTATATATAATCCACCAACTAATTTTGTATGTCATAGATTTTTAACGGTAATTATTCTTGAGATATGATTAACTAAGATAGGACATGGTAAATTGTGAAGTGTGCAAAAAGCAGAAACAGACGCTTTTGCGCTGTGGAATAAGGTGGACAATATTCTAATTGTAATCACTGCAACATTAATACAATTCCAGTGGTCAGACAAACGCAATGTGTATGCGAAAAAAAAAAAAACTGGAATGCAGCAGTTGTGGAATTTGATATGTTAGGGCAGATAAATGGATAAAATCGTTAACGAAGTGATTGTTCAAATTTTTTGGAGGTCAGAATTTTTGCACCCGTTTTATTGGAATTATTAAAAATGTATTAAACATATTTTTGGTATAAGTGAACGAAATATGCAAAAACTTAATGGTGTCGTTTTTAGCTTCTAAAATTTTCCGAACTGACATTTTGAGAATTTGAGAATTCCCCCGCACCTCCTAAATGAAAATTGAAAATAAAAACACCCGGACATTAAGGTGTAAATGTAAGTTCGTTCAATATTATATATTTATAAAATGAATAAAAATAACCTGTTCACTGGGTGATCGTTAACCAGCTTTTGTCTGGCCTTACATTTTAAAATCAAAATTCAAAACAGTTTGCTAAAAATGTGTAAAAATAATAAAGCATGAATTCTAATTACTGCACGATTACTGTACGTTTTTACATTGCCTCTGCACATCTTTTCATCAATTTTCATACAATCGACCAGCAATTGCTCATTCAAAAGTCGCAAAACATTTGTTATAAGTTTTTGAGAAATGAAAATGAAGTAATATTTTTTAGTATCTAAGTAGTGATATAAATAATATCATGATCTTAACCTGCGATTTTCGGCAGAAAGATTGAAAATGATGAAGAAAACACCTAAGCAATCTTTGCTGTTTTTACGAAAGTTGATTTGTTGAGTTTTCGCAAAAATTCACTTGTATAGCATGTCAAACGAATAATGTGACGTAAATTAAAAAAATATATATATCAGATTAATTGCATATCAGGCATAAAAATAATAATACCCCTGTAAACTGATAAAAACAAACGGATACAAAAGCAAAAATAACAATTAATGTTAATTAAACTAAATAAAAAAATAATAGAATAACAGAAAGGAAGAGAGCGCTTCTTAATTAATAATTGTTTTATTTAGTCATAGCCGTATTTGACTGAATTTAAAACTGAATTTGATTCAATTTTAACCGAAAATCCCTGGTCTGCCAAAAGGGCGTGGTTCTCCTTGAGGCCTGGGTGGAAGTGGATCTCCAGTTGGTCTTGGTGGGAGTGGATCTCCATTTGGTCTTGGTGGGCGTGGTTCTCCACTTTGTCTCGATGGGATTGGATCTCCACTTGGTCTTGGCGGGAGTGGACCTCCACTTGGTCTTGGTGGGAGTGGATCGCCGCTTGGTCTTGGGGGACGAGGTCCTTCGCTGGGCCTGGGTTGGCGAGATTCTTCACTTTGTCTTGGTGGACGAGGTTCTCCACTTGGTTTCGGAGGACATGGTTCACATGGCCTTGGTGGGCGCGGTTCTCCACTTGGCCTGGGTGGGCGGGGTTCTCCGCTTGGCCTTGGAGGGCGTGGTTCTCCACTTGGCCTGGGTGGGCGTGGTTCTCCACTTGGNACCGTTTCTTTGACAACGGGGCCGTAATCCGCGCGGAAAGACTTCAACACTTCTCGCATTTTCAAGTATTCATAATTTCCTTCAATCAGAGTACATTTTGTTATACATACACCAAATTTATACGATATATATCATATTATACCGGGGGGGGGGGAGGTCATTAATTTTTATATTTTAGGTGGAAGTAAAGTTTTCATTACAAAAGCTTCATAATTAGAGTTCTTTTACAGTCCCTGTTAGAAAATGTATACCAGTTTTATACATTTAGTACGTTGAATAACGATTGGTGGAATAAATTTTAGTTATGCTTTCAAAATCGCCAAACCTCTGATATAATCCAGCGTTACCCCGAGCAGTGGGAGCCCTTTGGGTCCCGGTATGTCCTCAAACGGCGCTGCTTTACTATATTCCACACTTGCTTTACAGTTGCCATTTTCATCCAACTTCGGTTGGGGGTAGCCAACTTGTGTCCTCAGCGTCCGGAGAACTGTTTTGGTTTTAGCGCTGATGAGTCGAGTTGTACTTTGTGTCCCTGGTGCTATCATGGCGCAAAATGGGCAAATGGAATTGTTGAAACGACTGAAAGATGGCCACAAATGGTCCTTGATATGGTCATAGGTTCATCGTGTTACTCAACTCAGTATGCTTGTCAAGCGCAGGGATGATACGGTAGATGGACCGCTGTAATGGCCTACATGCCACGATGAACAGAACATTACAAGGTCAACCATACATTTTATTAAGAGGCTAAGTAAACGTTAATGTTTTTAAGAGAGGAGATTTTTGTGTTCAATATACTATTTTATAATAGTAATTGATATAGCATAGATCAATCTGGTCATTTATTCATTGATTCGCAGATTCAGTCATTATGAAGTACTAATAAATTGTAGTAGATATATTTGGAGGAGTCGCTGACTCTTTATGTATCTAATACAATGTATACAGCCCTATTAAACAGAAAAACCCTGTATTCAATAGGGAAATAAGAACTTCCCAAGTTGAAAGTAGTACGTAAGCCTTTCTATGCAGATTACTTTGAAAGAGTCTGTGACAAAGCAAAGGTCCGTCCTATGTTTCTTTCAAATTAATTGTAGGTTTATTAAAATTTCGTCATATCAGTTTTGAATTTTTAATTAAAAACATGAGCAAAGAAGCTGTTGGTCAGGACAGAGACACGTGGCGTACATACACATGTGGAATTGGATAGAAAACTGCAGGCGAGATTAAACCAGTTTTTTCACATACCAATAACCAAGAAGGTCGTGGTGAAGATATAAATCCCATGCATGGTGTTGCCTTTGAACACTGTCCCACGATGTTTGCGTGTATCTGCACGTAAGTACGTAAAAACAAGAGAGCTGTGTGAACATGGGTTTGGGTTTTTTTTTTTGATAGAGATTGGGTTTTCAGCAGAGATATGAAGTGATTCAGAGAGATGAAAGTGATGTAAATGTTTTACAGATCAGAAATGTTTTACGTATCATAGTTCATTTGTTAGGTTTTTCGCGATGATGCATTTGTATGGAATGATATGCCACACATGACAATAACATCATATGCCGAATATTAAGACATCAGTATACTGATTGACTGTAAAGACGTAATGGTACAAAAAAAAAGACAAAAAATTAACTGATATTTTTATTAAGCCGTATTTGATTGGATTTTAAACCGAAATTGATGCTGTTTTAACCAAAAATCCCTGATCTACCTAAAGGACGTGACCCGCCTTGTGGCATGGGTGGGCGTGATTCTCCACTTGGCCTCGGTGGGAGTGGATCTCCACTTGGTCTAGGTGGGCCTGGTTCTCCATTTGGCCTCGGTGGGAGTGGATCTCCACTTGGCCTAGGTGGGCGTGGTTCTCCATTTGGCCTCGGTGGGAGTGGATCTCCACTTGGCCTAGGTGGGCGTGGTTCTCCATTTGGTCTCGGTGGGAGTGGATCTCCACTTGGTCTTGGTGGGCGTGGTCCCCCACTTGGTCTTGGAGGGCGTGGTTCTTCGCTAGGCCTGGATGGGCGAAGATCTTCAACTAATCTCGGGAGACGTGGTTCTCCACTTGGTCTCGGAGGACACGGTACACAGGGCCTTGGTGGGTGTGGTTCTCCACTTGGCTTTGGTGGGCGTGGTTCTCCACTTGGCCTGGGTGGGCGTGGTTCTCCACTTGGTCTCGGAGGACACGGTTCACAGGGCCTTGGTGGGCGTGGTTCTCCACTTGGCCTTGGTGGACGTGGTTCTCCGCTTGGTCTCGGTGGGCACGGTCCTCTGCAAGGTCTTGGTGGGCGTGGTTCTGCACTTGGCCTTGGTGGGCGCGGTTCTCCACTTGGCCTGGGTGGGCGTGGTTCTCCACTTGGTCTGGGTCTTGGTGGGCGGCGGTTATCCTCAGCAAGAGCAACCGATACTGGAAAGTTAAGAATATTCGTTGTACATATTAAGAACAAGATTTCTATTCCACAATTAGCTTTTAAAACTTGGACGGCAAGTCTGGATGACTGTTATAAAATCGATGTTAAAACCGATGCAATGTGAGTCATACCGTAGTTTTATATGACAAAACTGAATTAATTAAAATTCAGCAATTTTTTCACACTAATTTTATCGTCTCTGTCTCATAATCCGGAACAAATCAAATGCACCTTTTTATTTTAATAATAAGGGGTGTGTTAGACAAACGCAATGTGCCAAACGCTGAAAAAAAAGAAAGAAAGGAAACCCTGTTTCAGATGTTTGAATTTCTGCTTTTATAGGCACGAGTAAAACTCATCAGTTCCATAACCTCTCACTACAAAAATGATCCAAAATCTAAAATTTGGAATTAAAAACTCAAAAAACCTGTTTACAGTCCGCAAATTTATCAGCGGTTTGGGATATGGATTGTTTCGGTGATTAATGGAAAGGCAATTTACAGGAAAATTTTGATATAAATAAATTAATAAATGATCAAGTGATTCTTGCACAGTTCATGATGTATATTCAAAAATATTTGCCTGAATAACATAATCATTTAAAGGAGTTTTGCTACTAAAGGTTTATCGCTTATTTGGTTTCTCAAACTGACACTATATTGGCCCTTTTACTATGCATCATGACAATGATATAACAGATGAAAAAAAAACGAGAACTCACCGGTCAGTAAAATGCCTACGACTAGCAAGCGCATCTTCGTTTCTTCTTCCTTCCTAGAACCTCGCCGAGTTTTCAATTCCAGTTATAATCAGAATGTGAAGAAAACCTTTCCATGGTCCTCTTTATATACACAGTGTAGTAAGTAACCGTGGGCTGTAATACACGCCAACCCAGGGAGTGAATCCTGTATTTTGACTTCTAAAGTCCTAGATTTGGTAATGGCTGATTACAGTTGGACCACCCACTTGGTGAACCACCAGTGATGAATTTTGAGGACACCGGTCTGAATCTTGACACCAAAATGTGTTCAAGTGATTATATTTTGACTATTTATTTTCATTTTTTAAAATTATTTGTTTATTTTTCATATTAAATATATTGCTAAAAGGCTAATAGTAAGTGTTCAACGTTTATACAGGAAAAATTTAATCGATTTCAAAACTTATCCTAAATTAGCATGCAATGGTATTTTTTATAAAACCGTTCACATTATTTACGGTCCATTAAGTATTTTTTTAGTTTTCAGTCTATATTTTTATTGCTCTTTTAATGCACATAGAAACCGATGAATTATACCCATGGCAGAAAAAAGGAGAAATTGAGACATCGAAAACACTTTAATAATTTGCAGTTTTCTCTACGTTTTTGGGTAGGGTAAAACGTACAGGCCTACCTTATTGATCAAGGGGATATTTATAAAATTTCCAGAAGAATTTTTGGCTACATAAAAGTCTAATGTGCATTGTGCTCCCTCATCGCATAGACAAGGCGCTGAACATTTTATTGTATGATATTTGTTTAAAAGTCCGTTTGGTGAAGTAGATGTACATGTAGATGTACATGTATTAAACGAGACCAATGTCAAATTTTAGTGTTAAACAACAATGATCATGCAAACCACGAGTGACGGTTAATAACTGGAAGGTGTGTGTGTGTGTGTGTGTGAGTGTGTGTGTGTGTAC